ACGTGTGTGCTTGTGTCCAGGTGTGTGAGCAGGTCAACTAACACGTGTGTGTTTGTGTCCAGGTGTGTGAGCAGGTCAACTAACACGTGTGTGTTTGTTTCCAGGTGTGTGAGCAGGTCAACTAACACGTGTGTGTTTGTTTCCAGGTGTGTGAGCAGGTCAACTAACACGTGTGTTTGTTTCCAGGTGTGTGAGCAGGTCAACTAACACGTGTGTTTGTGTCCAGGTGTGTGAGCAGGTCAACTAACACGTGTGTTTGTTTCCAGGTGTGTGAGCAGGTCAACTAACACGTGTGTTTGTGTCCAGGTGTGTGAGCAGGTCAACTAACACGTGTGTGCTTGTGTCCAGGTGTGTGAGCAGGTCAACTAACACGTGTGTGTTTGTGTCCAGGTGTGTGAGCAGGTCAACTAACACGTGTGTGTTTGTTTCCAGGTGTGTGTGAGCAGGTCAACTAACACGTGTGTGTTTGTGTCCAGGTGTGTGAGCAGGTCAACTAACACGTGTGTGTTTGTGTCCAGGTGTGTGAGCAGGTCAACTAACACGTGTGTGTTTGTTTCCAGGTGTGTGAGCAGGTCAACTAACACGTGTGTTTGTTTCCAGGTGTGTGAGCAGGTCAACTAACACGTGTGTGCTTGTGTCCAGGTGTGTGAGCAGGTCAACTAACACGTGTGTGCTTGTGTCCAGGTGTGTGAGCAGGTCAACTAACACGTGTGTGCTTGTGTCCAGGTGTGTGAGCAGGTCAACTAACACGTGTGTGCTTTGTCGTACCTAATAGCCAGAACGTACTTCTCAGCCTACTATGTAAGGCCTGATTTGCCTAATAAGCCAAGTTTTCCTGAATTAATATATTTTCTCTATTTTTTTTCTTATGAAATGATAAAGCTACCCATTTCATTATGTATGAGGTCAATTTTTTTTTATTGGAGTTAAAATTAACGTAGATATATGACCGAACCTAACCAACCCTACCTAACCTAACCTAACCTATCTTTATAGGTTAGGTTAGGTAGCCGAAAAAGTTAGGTTAGGTTAGGTAGGTTAGGTAGTCGAAAAATCATTAATTCATGAAAACTTGGCTTATTAGGCAAATCGGGCCTTGCATAGTAGGCTGAGAAGTGCTTTCTGGCTACTAGGTACGACATATATATATATATATATATATATATATATATATATATATATATATATATATATTTAAGAGTACCATTAAATGTATCTATATTTCTACGCTCGGGGGAAAACCTACTAACAGCTGTTTTCTGAAAACAAAAGTTCAAGTTCTTTTTGTTATGAATGATGTTAAGTGTTAGGTACTCACCTAGTTGTGCTTGCGGGGGTTGAGCTTCGGCTCTTTCGTCCACTGGTAGGTTGGTGTGGGTTAGTAGGCAGTGCCAGCACTCCCTCCCCCCCCTCTCCCCCCCGTCCTCAACCCCGTGAGTGCCAGCCGGAGTCAGTATATGGGTGCACCGTATGGCACCAGCTGGTGGCACCCTTGTCTCTGTGCCAGTACTCACATCACCTCTTCTCTCACGCCTCAAACCTCCTCATGTGCATAACACCTCACCCCTTCCCTATGCCTCGCCTATATAAATCTTGAAATAGAACATTCCCTGTAACTAGCTGACATTGTAATTATAAGGTGTGGAGGATAGATGACATTGTTAATGTAATAATCTCCGTTGAGGTCTGATAAAGACCCTTTGTGTCCTCTGTAATCCTTTTTTGCGCTACCGCTCACAGGAGCTGTAAGAACGACAGCTATAAGATCCGGATTCTTGCAGAGTAAACACCAGGAAATGCGAGAGTCCTGGGTAGGAAGAGCTTCCTCATGTGTGCCTCATCATACAGCAGAGTGGACGTACTCTGATCCACCGCGATCTGAGTGAACCTCTCATACCACCTGCTGAAATAAATATTGTGTTCCAAAATCGTCGGCAAATGTATCAATGTTTTAACTTTGTTTCGGAGGAAGTGATGACCGTCTGTGGTCCAAGGTGGATCCCCCACCACACTACGCTGCGTCAGACATGTTGTTTAAGATTCAGCTACTGGGAACAAAAAGTTTTAAGTAGCACGGGCTATGGTGAGCCCGTAGTGGACTTACCTGGCACAGGAGCGGGCAAGTAGCACGGGCTATGGTGAGTCCCGTAGTGGACTTACCTGGCACAGGAGCGGGGCAAGTAGCACGGGCTATGGTGAGCCCGTAGTGGACTTACCTGGCACAGGAGCGGGGCAAGTAGCACGGGCTATGGTGAGTCCCGTAGTGGACTTACCTGGCACAGGAGCGGGGCAAGTAGCACGGGCTATGGTGAGCCCGTAGTGGACTTACCTGACACAGGAGCGGGGCAAGTAGCACGGGCTATGGTGAGTCCCGTAGTGGACTTACCTGGCACAGGAGCGGGGCATGTAGCACGGGCTATGGTGAGTCCCGTAGTGGACTTACCTGGCACAGGAGCGGGGCAAGTAGCACGGGCTATGGTGAGCCCGTAGTGGACTTACCTGGCACAGGAGCGGGGGTGTAACTTCCCTCTGCTGTGTCAGACACTTCCCTCCTTCCTTACACCCCACCTCAACACGTTACAACTTAAAGCCTTAACGCAAGAGTGCGTAAGGGCGGGAAATGAACCCCGGCAGGAGGTAGAGGGGGACGCGCCCCCCTAGAGCAGTGGTAAGGGAAGAGTATTGGTTATGGGGCGGCCACACCACCGTCTCCTCCACCTGGGTCCAGTATCACCACCCAGCTCTAACTTGTTGTCGAGTTGGACGACCATTTGGTGGCGTCTTCAGGAAAGGTCGAGGAAGGAATGGTGGCCGCGGAAGAAAGTTTTCTCTAAGGTGAGAAACGAAGAGGGAACTGAGAGAGTTTGAGGTACAGGGGGGGGGGAGGGAATTATCAGCGGGAAAGCGCCAAGCCATTACGACTATATAACACTGGGAAGGGGTCAGGATAAGGATGTGAGATGGGACGGAGGGAAAGGAATGGTGCCTCAACCATTTGTGGACGGTCGGGAGATTGAACGCCGACCTGCATGAAGCAAGACCGTCGCTCTACCGTCCAGCCCAAGTGGTTAGGATGCACACCTAATAGTTGTACAATGAAAAGCCTCTGGAGTCACAATTTTTGCAATTAATAATGAGTAATGTTGACCAAACCAGACACCAGAAGCTGGAGAAGAGACGACGACGTTACACGCCGCCCTGAACCATTATAACAAGTCCAGTGTCTTGATAATGACTGATGCTGTGACGGTAGTCTCGCCCTGATGGCTCAGTGGACAGCGCTCGGGATTCGTGATCCTGAGGTTCCGGGTTCGATCCCCGGCGGAGGCGGAAACAAAATGGGCATAGTTTCTTTCACCCTGATGCCTCCTGATCACCTAGCAGTAAATAGGTACCAGAGAGTTACAGCTGCTACGGGCTGCTTCCTGGGGATATGTAACAAAAAGGAGGCCTGGTCGAGGACCGGGCCGCTGGGACGCTAAGTCCCGAAATCATCTCAAGATAACCTCAGAGATAACCTACTATGGAAATTGCCCAAAAATGACGCTAAAATCATAGTAGATGCCATCTACAACGGGAACATGTCCCCCTGGAACAGTGGGGGAAACTATGCGTCACAATCATTTTGTCCCGCCCGGGATTCGAACCCGGAAATTCGATTGGGTCGAGAACGGACCCGACTGTAAGAGCCAGTATTGACATGGTTGATGACACCAGCGTTGATGACTTTAGAGGGGGGGGGTGCTGGCCAGCCGCTGAAAGTCAAGCTTGTCCCATTTCTTGCCTCCATTAACCGTTCGTAAAGAAGCCGGCGTCGGAAGCCCCGCTACGTGGGCTAGATTCACGAAGCAGTTACATAAGCACTTACGAACCTGGGGCTAGATTCACGAAGCAGTTACATAAGCACTTGCGAACCTGGGGCTAGATTCACGAAGCAGTTACGCAAGCACTTACGAACGTGTACATCTTTCCTCGATCTTTGACGGCTTTGGTTACATTTATTAAACAGTTTACAAGCATGAAAACTTGTCAATCAACTGTTGTTATTGTTATAAACAGCCTCCTGGTGCTTCAGAGCTCATTAACTGTTTAATAATTGTAAACAAAGCCGCCAAAGATTGAGAAAAGATGGACAGGTTCGTAAGTGCTTGCGTAACTGCTTCGTGAATCTGGCCCCTTACCTGTTATGCTGCCCTCTGAAACCATTTAGTAGTTCGGTCCCCGGCAGATATACCCCACTACCTCGCCTGGTATACCCAGTGCCTGGGTATACTCCGACTGGTATACAAGTATACCGTCGAGAAATACATGAGTATACCACTGAGTGTATTTCAGATAAGAACAGTGCTGTGGGTGTTGTTGATAAGGAAATTGTCATGCGTAGGAATGGGGGGGGTGGTGTTGGGTGTAGGAGGGGGGGGGGTTGTCAGGTGTAGGAGGGGGGGGGGTTCAGGTGTAGGAGGGGGGGGGTTGTCAGGTGTAGGAGGGGGGGGGTTGTCAGGTGTAGGAGAGTGGGGGGAATTGGAGTAGCCAGCAGCCAACTCTCGAGTATTCTACAGGCCAGACAGGGCTAAGTAGTCATCGTTGCTTGATGCCTTCTTTAGATACTCATCAACATATCTAATTCAGGAATTTCAAACTATTAAAATGTTTCTACTTCTGCTCCAGGTGTGTGAGCAGGTCAACTAACACGTGTGTTTGTGTCCAGGTGTGTGAGCAGGTCAACTAACACGTGTGTTTGTTTCCAGGTGTGTGAGCAGGTCAACTAACACGTGTGTGCTTGTGTCCAGGTGTGTGAGCAGGTCAACTAACACGTGTGTGTTTGTGTCCAGGTGTGTGAGCAGGTCAACTAACACGTGTGTGTTTGTTTCCAGGTGTGTGAGCAGGTCAACTAACACGTGTGTGCTTGTGTCCAGGTGTGTGAGCAGGTCAACTAACACGTGTGTGCTTGTGTCCAGGTGTGTGAGCAGGTCAACTAATCGTATTGATGTCATCCTCAGGTTGTGTGGCCAATCCAGACGCCAAGAGGCTGTACGATGACCTCCTCAGCAACTACAATCGCCTCATCAGACCAGTGGGCAACAACTCAGAGAAACTCATCGTCAAGCTGGGGCTCAAGCTCTCCCAACTCATCGATGTGGTGAGTGACTCTTCCGTATGTTGTTTCAAGTCTTCCAGTTTCGGGACGAGTCCAGTGGAAGATCTCAGTGTGTGTGTGTGTGTGTGGGGGTGGGGGGTGGGGGGGGGTGGGGTGGGGGGTTTGGGGGGGGTGGGGGTGGAATGTGGGGGGGGGGGGTGGAATGTGGGGGGTTTGTTGTGGGGGGTGGACACACTCTCTCACAGAACCTGACTCTCCCATCTCAGCGAGTGGGAATATTCCCTTTAGTTAACAAAAGCCTGGATGCCTCTAAATCACTTTTGTTTAATTTTGTATCTTTTTTTTAATTACATTTCAATCTTTTGTATGAATATTACGGAGATTATATACATATTATTCTGACTTTTTATGTTTTCTAGGATGTGTTTGTTTGTGTTTGTTTGTGTGATATTAGTGAGCTCTTGGTCAACATGCCTGGACAATACATGCAAGTGATACATCAATGTGTAGTGCAGCCATTACCCCCCCCCCTACTGCTTGGCCCCCCCGCCCCTCCCAACCACCCCCCCCCCCACAACGCCACCACCACCACCACCACCACTACCTTAGCCCACCACCACCACCACCACCACCACCACCATTACCCCACCACAACCACCACCACTACCCCACCACAACCACTACCCCACCACAACCACTACCCCACCACCACCACTGTGGAGCCATTTACCCCGAATCCTATATATTGTAGAACATTCAAAAAAGAGAAACTGAAATTATTTATGTACATCTCCCAAGAGTACCCAGAACACAGGTTCGACTTCCCGTCATAGCTCCCACGGATTTGCTCATTGATATTATTATTAACATCTTTATTGACAAAATTAATTACAATTTTGCCTAACCTGAGGATTTTGATAGTCTTATTAAAGTGAGGATAATGCTGGTATTCACTGTCACGCAGGACAGAGGGTCATACACAAGACAATAGGTCTAAACTGTAGGCTGAAGCACATATATATCATGGTTACAATCAATGTTTTAATGTATGGATATGTGAAAACAACTTTCTATTGTGCACTGCCACACAAGGGCAGGGATGGGTTCATAAGTGATGCAGCTTAGAAGTAATATAAATAAAAATTGTTTTTCATTCCTTAAAATGGACAAGCAAATTTTGGATAAATTGTTAGGATGTCGTTCAGAACACCTGAGTCAATAAAATAGCTACACAGTTGGTGGTACAAGATGCCAGGAGGTCTAAAGTTCTTTACGGTTTCACATTCAACAATATAGTGTTCTAGTGAATGCATGAAAGGTTTAGCACAGTTTACAATCTGAGTATTCTGGTAGTGGCTCAGCCTCACTAACCTGCCAGATGTGTCTATAGCCAAGGCGAATTCGCGCAATGACTACATCACATTGCCTGGTCCGGTTACTGTGCTGACCATACAAATACCTATTATTACAAAACTTGTCATAACTTTTAATACTGCAGCTTTCAGGTCTCTGGGCATTTCTTAGTTCTTCTAAATCTGAATTAATTTCCTTAATTTGTATGTTTCTAATAATTGCATTAGATAGTCCAAAGTCATAATCAATGTTTTCTTTCCTGCAAGCCTCATTGGCCAATCGATCTACAAAGTCATGTTTTCCAACTCCAACATGGGATGGGATCCACACAAATTTTATACAAAAGTTATTATCATTGGCAAAAATTCCATTCCAATTAATATTACAAGCTACATCCGACATACATTGTGATGGGTTATTTAAGGACTGCAGAGCACTTTTAGTCACAGAAAATAACACCACCACCATTGAACTTAAGGTATTCAGTGGCTAGATAAATGCCCACTATCTCGGTCTGTGTCGTGCTTGCCCAGTTGTTCAATCTCTGTGTACTAGACATGATCATTTCATTCCCTTTATATACTGCACATGCACAACCTGTTCTACCAGTGCCTAACTGCACAGAGCTATCAGTAAAGGCGTAGGATTAAGTCGGTTTGAGAATTTGAAGATGACTGTCAATAGCTTCTAATGTTATACATCTCAAAATGTCAGTGTTATACATTTGTTTTACACTGATGGGAGTATAATGCAGAGAGACCTCCACATCTTTCCAAGGGGGAATATAGTGAACAGTTTTATCAGGGTTAAGAGACATATTCAGTTTCTGAAGATTATAGGCACAACAACTGAGCCACACACTGTAGGGAGCTTTTTGCGGCGGATTGAGGGAACAGTCAGAATTGTTTAGAATGGATCTCAATTTAATTTGAATAGATGATATGTCACGTTAAAGGGTGCCCGTAGTACAGTGGGGTTCGTTCTCGACGCACACTCGAGAATTCCGTGATGGAATCCCGGGCGGGATAGAAATAGTTGGGCGCATTTCCTATCGCCTAATGCCTCTGTTCACCTAGCATTAATTAGGTACTCAGGAGTCAGCTTACTGTGGAGTGGCCTCCTGAGCGGGGTCAGTAATTCGACTTTGGGAGGGGGGGGGGACTTGATATAAGAGGGTGTATGAACACCCTCCGGCTTGCTGTCCCGTGACACAATGAATTACTATATTTAAAGTGATTTCTGTGAGTATAGGCGTATGGCCTATGATAGGTCTAGCTCCTCAGCCCCAGCCTAACAGCCTGGTTGAACCTATGACATCACAACTTAACTTTAACAGTCTAGAACTTTGTCGAAACTGTCCTTAGAGTAGCGGATGGAGGTGGCTTTCACAGCCTCTTCTTTTCCGTTGCATTCCACATGTTGACTACCTGTATGAGACTGAGGGGACATACTCACAACATTAACGATACTGCGAGGAATTGATAAGGTGGACAAGGACGTGCCAGACCTCGCTGCACTGTAGTCACTCATAGGTAGGCACCCCCTGCCTCACTGTCTCTACCTGTCTCACCGTCACCACCATGACCCCACACAGTAGGCACCTCTGGTTGACGGCAACAGTAAATAATAAATTGGATATAGCGGAGTTTTCTTGACTTAAAACCTTGTTTTGAGTCGCATTAGCTACCTGTCCATCCTCTCCTGTGGTCCTGGGGGGAGGGAGGGAGGGTGAGAGAGAGAGAGAGAGAGAGAGAGAGAGAGAGAGAGAGAGAGAGAGAGAGAGAGAGAGAGAGAGAGAGAGAGAGAGAGAGGGGTGAGATACATAGAGGTAGAGGCAGGAAGTGTGTATGGTGGGGAAGGGGGGCGCTGACCCCATGTGTGGGGGAGGAGGGGGGGGGACAAGCCAGGGGGGGAGACGAAGCCAGGTTAAGAGCAGCAAAACGGATTACCAAGGCAGGGAAGCCTTTAGTGCGGGTGTTGACGCGCGCCGCGGGTGCGCTCACATTACCTACTCCTGCCAAATCGGTTCCACAAAATTATCCTCCGGCCCATCATAAAATACACACTTTTGATGCGCCGATCACTCTGATCTCCCACCACCCCCAGGCGGAGATCAGACACCAGCTCTGTCTGGCCAGATGTCCTCAAGGTCTTGGGCTGTTGGTCTGAGGATTTTACCTTGTTGATCAACTCTGAGCGGCAAGGGGCCCTCCCCACGGGTGGTGGACCAGGAAGGGGCCCTCCCCACGGGTGGTGGACCAGGAAGGGGCCCTCCCCACGGGTGGTGGACCAGGAAGGGGCCCTCCCCACGGGTGGTGGACCAGGAAGGGGCCCTTCCCACGGGTGGTGGACCAGGAAGGGGGCCCTCCCCACGGTTGGTGGACCAGGAAGGGGCCCTCCCCACGGGTGGTGGACCAGGAAGGGGGCCCTCCCCACGGGTGGTGGACCAGGAAGGGGCCCTCCCCACGGGTGGTGGACCAGGAAGGGGCCCTCCCCACGGGTGGTAGACCAGGAAGGGGGCCCTCCCCACGGGTGGTGGACCAGGAAGGGGGCCCTCCCCACGGGTGGTGGACCAGGAAGGGGGCCCTCCCCACGGGTGGTGGACCAGGAAGGGGGCCCTCCCCACGGGTGGTGGACCAGGATGGGGCCCTCCCCACGGGTGGTGGACCAGGAAGGGGCCCTCCCCACGGGTGGTGGACCAGGAAGGGGCCCTCCCCACGGGTGGTGGACCAGGAAGGGGCCCTCCCCACTGGTGGTGGACCAGGAAGGGGCCCTCCCCACGGGTGGTGGACCAGGAAGGGGCCCTCCCCACGGGTGGTGGACCAGGAAGGGGCCCTCCCCACGGGTGGTGGACCAGGAAGGGGCCCTCCCCACGGGTGGTGGACCAGGAAGGGGCCCTCCCCACGGGTGGTGGACCAGGAAGGGGCCCTCCCCACGGGTGGTGGACCAGGAAGGGGCCCTCCCCACGGGTGGAGGGTCAGGAAGGGGCCCCTCCCCACGGGTGGTGGGCCAGGAAGGGGCCCTCCCCACGGGTGGAGGGTCAGGAAGGGGCCCTCCCCACGGGTGGAGGGTCAGGAAGGGGCCCCTCCCCACGGGTGGTGGACCAGGAAGGGGCCCTCCCCACGGGTGGTGGACCAGGAAGGGGCCCTCCCCACGGGTGGTGGACCAGGAAGGGGGCCCTCCCCACGGGTGCTGGACCATGTCGTGGCACAGTGGACTAGAGCGCGTCTGGGAACACCCAGTTCATAGGTTCGAACCCTCATCACAGGCTCTCGTGGATGTGTTCATTTTTACGTATACACTATTTGGTCAGAAAATAAATGTCTCGGCCTCTAGTTTTAAGTCCAGACTACAGGTTGATATAACAGGGGTATCAGGGTTATCTTGAGGTTATCTTGAGATGATTTCGGGGCTTTTTAGTGTCCCCGCGGCCCGGTCCTCGACCAGGCCTCCACCCCCAGGAAGCAGCCCGTGACAGCTGACTAACACCCAGGTACCTATTTTACTGCTAGGTAACAGGGGCATAGGGTGAAAGAAACTCTGCCCATTGTTTCTCGCCGGCGCCTGGGATCGAAGCTCCCAGGGTAAGATAAACTCATGTGTAGATAAACCAAGATAAACTCCAACTCCAAGATCCAAGATAAACTCTGATCCAGGACCACAGGATCACAAGTCCAGCGTGCTGTTCG